TGCCCGCGGCGGCGGCGCGGCCGCGGCTTCGCCTAGGCTCGCAGCGCGGGAGCGCGTGGGGCGCGGCGGCGGCGGGGAGCCCGCGGGCCTCCTCGCAGGCGGCCGAGCAGGGAGCCCTGAGCCCCGGGAGCGTCGGGGGAGCAGCGCCCCATCGCTCCCCCGCGGCTCTCGGGTTTCTCCCTTCCACCCTGACGCCCGCCCGGCCGGGCTTCTACACGGAAGCGCTCTCATGGCCCAGGAGGCAAAAGCGGGAGAAGCCATGTGCCAGCCGGGGTGGAGGGCGCCCCTGGGAGTCCCGCGCACCAGCCCCGGAGCTGCTGCTACTGCCGCCGCCGCCGCCGCCGCCGCCGCCGCGCAACCCGCGCTCGCGTCCCCCGGGGAGGGCGCCACTGCTCCGCGCGAGTCCCGGGGGCGGCGGATCCCCAGCGGCGGGTGCTTCCCCGGGCACCGGAGCTCAACCTCTCAAACGCAGCCCTCCATTCCCAGGGTCCCAACCCACCCAGCACCTTCCCCGCTCCTCCGGATCGCAGACATTATATTTTCTGGTCTCTTCCAAATTTAAGCCTTGCTCAGGTCACCCCAGTACATTCAACATTTCTCCAGGTCACAAGGGTTTTTTTTTTTTTTGGTTTGGTTTGGGGTTTTTTTGCACATTAATTTCTGGGGATCTGAAAACGCATAACCCCCACTGGCTTTCCCAGGTTTACACTAGTGGCCTGGGTCCCCAAACTCATTGGGTGTTTTCTCCCAGGCTCTTCACAATTTTATATACCCCCCAGCCCCACCCCCAGGTTCTGCAGAGTTACACAGTGGCAAACCCTATTCGGGAAGATTTAAACATTAACCCTGGGTCCTGTGGTCAGGCTGACCAATTCGCCTGGCTCCCCAGAATGTGCACAGTGTTTTTCTGGCATTTAGGCATCATTCCCAAACAAGTGGAGCTCTCTTCCTGTGTCCCCGTAATTTTGGACGACAGTGGCTCCCAAGCTTACCACCCCTGTTCTGGGCCCCCCACACTGAAGCCCTGTTCCCCTGGTTCACCAGAGTTCGGGGCATTATCTGCTGGGTTCCACAACTGTATTGGCCTCACCCTGGGTTCCCTAAATTTTCCACAAAGAATCCTAGGCACCCCCACCTCCGCAACACACTAAGCCATTTCCCCGGGACCCTCAGGGTCTGAACGTTGCTTCCCATACCTCCACCAAAATTTAGGCGTTACACCCAAAGCACGCCGATCCCCCTTCTGAATCATAAACAGTCTGCGCTCTGATCTCCTGAGTTCCACAAAATTGAGAGGATGATTTCTGGTCCCCAAAACGCATTAATTTCTGGTCCCCCCCCCTTTTTTTTTTTGGTGGGCCATGAAGATATGGGGCGTTCATTCCCGGGGATCTCCAAGCTTCCTTGCCACTTATCAGGTTCATTAAAATTTAGACACTTACCCAGGCCCCGAAAGCACGTGGAGCAATTATCCAAGGTGCGCTCAGTTGTGATCGTGGACAGGCAGATCCCCCCAAATCGCAAACCTCCCAGGTCCCCCTGGGTCAAACCACGCACAAAACAAACTCTTTCACAGAGCCTATATCTTGTTATACCAAGCTCTTTTGAGTGTCCCAGTAACCAAATATTCTGAATATTTTCTCCGCCTCATAACATTCTGAATATTAAAAAATTCCCTGGGCCCCACGAGCTTACTGACAAGAATCCAGGTTTTCTAAAACTCAGAACGGATCCCATATCCCGGGCCAACCAACGCTGGACCCTTTCCTCTATTTGGACACGCTGGGCTCTCAACATCAGGCATTGCCCTCCAGGCCCCCCAGACACATTCAATGTTACACTTCTGTCACAGAAAGGCACCGATTTCTTGGGCTCCAAGGCATCTCAGGCACCCACTGAGTCACCCCAAATTTAGTCGACATTTTCTGAGTCTCCCAGACACTGCAAACCCCCTGTAGATACCCAGCTGCAGGCACTGATTCTTCAGGCCCCACCACTTAGGAACTCTGAATCCTTTCCCCATAAAACTTAGATACTGACCCTCATTTCTCCTGAGGACTTCGAAGAGCTTCTTTGGATCCCCAGATTCAGAAATGATTTTTCTGGGGCCTCCAGATTGAGACACTGCCTGCCAGCCCTCCAAAATAAACTGAGATTATTTTCCCCCCTCCACAAAAGAATTGATCTTTTTTTGAACGTTGATTTATGGGTCCCCTGACTTGATGATCCTTGCCCCGAGTCCCCCTAAATTTAGGCAATTTTCCACAGGCCTCCCAAAGTGAAATTGCCCAGATACCGAAAAAAATCCCCGGGTCCTGGAAATCCCAGGTATTATAGGCCGCGTCCTACAAGCTTCCTTGCTACTAACCAGGTTCCCTGAAATTTAGGTACCAATCTCTATTGAACAATTTTCATGGATTCCCCCAAACTTGGGCCACGTCTTCCTAGGGTTCCCCAAATGCAGACAGTGCCCGGGAAAATATATTTTTTTCCTGTTCACCAAAAAATAAACTAATTGAAACCAACGTAAAAATTAAGATATAAAAGGACATTGATTTTCTGCATTCTCCAAATGTCCTGATCACACCCCAGGTTGCCCCGAATTTAGATCGTGTTTCTTGACTCTCTAAAGGACATTGAGGATTTTCTCAAAAGCCACAGCAATTATGGAAGTTACTTTCCCTGGGTGATGCAAGCGTCCAGGCCACTAACTTGAATTTCTAAGTTGTGGAAATTAATCTCCACTCTTCTCCACCGCATGGACGATTTGCCTAGATCCCCAAAATGTGTCCATTGTTTTTCTTCCCCCGGTTTTAGACAGTACGCCTCTGGGGTTCTCCCAAGTTTCACGCTGAGCATTTTCCTCGGGTCATCCCCAAACCTACTTCGCCACAAAGTGGGACCCCCCACAAACTTGCTGACCCAGATGCTGGGGTCCCCACATTTTAGACGCGGCTCCCTTGTCCCCCAGTTGCAGGGAGAAATCCCCCCGGTCCTCAGACTCGGACTCTCTTTCTGGAGTCTCGAATTTAGTCGTGAATCGCAGTTCCCCACACCGACGCAACCTCCCTTGGGTCCCCACTTCGGGACACTCGTTCTCTCGCCCGCAAATCAGGCGGCTCTGACTTGCGTTCCCGGCCTTTGGGCATTGTTCCCGGCCCCGCCGCGGTCTCTGCAGCTTCCCCAATCCCGCGTACCACGGGCACTGGTTCTGGGCCTCTCTGCGTCTCCTACGAAGTCCCCGGAGCTCCTCGGAGTTGGAAAATTTCTCTTGTGTTCCCCAAACACACTTGGCCCAGCAGCGTGTCCTCCAGGACGCAGGCAGTGCTTCTCCCGCGTCCAGGAAAACGACTGGGCATTGCCCCCAGTTTCCCCCAAATTTGGGCATTGTCCCCGGGTCTTCCAACGGACTGGGCGTTGCCCCCGGACACTGGGGACTGCCCCCGGGGTCTCGCTCACCTTCAGCGCGTCCGCCGCCCGTTGCAGAGCGCTCGCTCTCTGCCTCGGCTCCTAGCGCGCCCGCGGACGCAGCCTCCGGCCTCCAGCCTCGCGGTGAGCTCCCCGCCGCCTCGCGTCCCGGCCCGGCTCCCAAACCCACCCGCCGCCGTCCCGAGCGGCTGCTGGGGACACCGGCGCGGGGCGCGGGAGCCTGCGGCGGGCTAGCCCCTCGGCGGCCGCGCTCGCTAGGCCGGGCGCCCTGAAACCCGCGCCGCTTTCGTTTGCTCTCTGCAAAGATCACGGTCGTGGGGAAAGCGCCTCGGCGGCCCCCCAGCGGGGCAGGCAGGGCGCAGGGTAGGAGGGACGCGGAGGACAGGCGCACCCGGCTCGGGCGGCGCGGCGCCGCCAGCCGCCGGGCGGAGGACTCCGGGAGGCGCGCGCCGAGCGCGGGCGACGTGATTGATGGCGGAGCGAGGGGGCGAGCCGGGCGCGGGCTTCCGCCGCCGGCGGCCCCTTCCCCTCGGAGGGGCGCTGGCTGCCGGGGCTCCTGGGGGCGGGCGGGGCGCGGGGGCTCGTGCGTGGTTTTTGACTTGGTAAAAATCACAACGACTTCTTACATCGTCCAAACTCTCCAGGAGATGGTTTCCCCAGACCCCCAAATTATCGTGGTGGCCCCTGGGGCTGAACCCGAGTCTGCGCAAGTCCAACGCACTGAGGACGGGGGAACTATTATCCGGATATTTTGGGTGGGCCCCAAAGGCGAGCTGCTTAGATGCACCCCGGTGAGCCCGGTCATGCAGGTAGGATTTGAGCGATGTTTCCCGCCCTGCTCGTATCTCTCCCGGCAGGCGCAGCCCGGGCCGGCCCCATGCCTGGCCCAGATTCGGTCCTGGCCCGGCCGGCCCTCCCCACGTACTGCACCTGGCAGCCGCCGAGGCTACTCCCCGGTTCCCGCGCGGCACCGGGGGGCGCTCGGGCTCCGGCTGCGGCTCGAGGGGCTGCGCCTGCTCGGGCAGGTGGCGGCTGCGCGCCCCGCCCGCGCCCAGGGACTCCCCACTTCCCTTGTACATCCCAGCGGCACTCGGGGACCCCCGACCCAGTGTCGAGCCACCTGCGCCCGCATTCCGACAGGGCACCCTCGCCGCGTAGCCCCCTGGCCGGGCGCGGGGACCTGGCCGTCGCTAGGGCGTGTGACGCCGCCCACCCTGGTCGCCCCGCGTCCCCCGTGCACTAATGCGGGGACCTTGGCACCCCGGAACCTAAGACGGGGCCCCCAAACACTTTAGAATAGCGATTCGGGATTTCTTTCGAACTCTGCCGATCCCTGCCCCCAATCCAATCTCGCCCCCGCGCACCCCACAGCCCCCCCCAACCGCCGCCCCCCGGGACCCCAAGCCCGCCCCCCGCCCTTGGCTCGAGTTGCGAGGGCGGTCCGGGGGCGGGGCGAGGGCCCCGCGGGCGCCCATTGGCGCGGGCGCACGGCCAGCGGGGCCCGAGCGGGCGCCGAGCCGCGGGGTGGCGCGGCTATAAGAGCCGGGCGTTGGCGCCCGGAGTTCGCCTGCTCTCCGGCGGAGCTGCGTGAGGCCAGGCCGGCCCCCGGCCCCCCCCCTTCCGGCCGCCCCCGCCTCCTGGCCCACGCCCGCCCGCGCTCGGCCCGCCAGCGCCTCCACCCGGCTGGCGGCCCCGCGTCGACGCCGTCCGCCGCCACGCTGCTGACTCCCATCTCGGGCGCCGTCGGCGGGGTCGCGCTCCGCCGGCCTGCGGATCCCCCGCCGCCTCCTCCTCATCTACCTCAACGCCCGTCCCGCTTCGCCCGAGGAGGCGGTCCCCCCCGCAGGCAGTCCGGCTCGCAGGCCGCCGGCGTTGTCATCCCCCGCGCTCCCTCCCGGCCCTCCCCGGCGCGCAGCCCGGCCGCTCCCCCTCCTCGCTGCGTCCCGAGCGGCCCCGGCGCCGCCACCGCCGCCCCCCCCCGAGGCCCGGGCTCGCGACGGCCGAGGGCTCCGTCGGCCCAAACCGAGCTGGGCGCCCGCGGCCCGGGTGACGCCTCCGCTCCGCCCCCCTCAGCACCTTCCCCGGCCCCCGACGTTGCGCCCTTTCCTCGCTTCTCTGCGCTCCCCGTCCCCTCTCCGGCCTCTGGTCCCGGCCCCCTCTCTTCTTCCGCAGCCTTCCCTTTGCTCCCTCCCGCCCCCCCCAGCTCCTTGCCTCCAACTCCCTCCCCTTCCACGCCCGCCCTCTCGCCTTCGCCGTCCCAAAGTGGATTAATTATACGCTTTCTGTTTCTCTCCTCGCTGTTCTCTCCCGCTGTGCGCCTGCCCGTCTCTCACTGTCCTCTCTCTCTCTCTCTCGCCCTCTCTTCGGCCCCCCCCTTTTCACGTTCACTCTGTCTCTCTCACTATCTCTGCCCCTCTCTATCCTTGATACAACAGCTGACCTCATTTCCCGATACCCTTTCCCCCCCTAAAAGTACAACATCTGGCCCGCCCCAGCCCGCAGACAGCCCGTCCTCCCCAAACAATCAGACGAGTTTCCCACCCCCCCAAAAAAGCCATCCCCCCGTTCTGCCCCGTCGCACATTCGGCCCCCGCGACTCGGCCAGAGCGGCGCTGGCAGAGGAGTGCCCGGCAGGAGGGCCAACGCCCGCTGTTCGGTTTGCAATACGCAGCAGGGAGGTGGGCGGCCCCTGCGCCGGCTTCCAGGTAAGCTGCGTGCGGGCCGGGCCGGGCCGGGGCGGCTGGGCCCGGGGCAGACAGGGTGGGGGGCTGTCGGTCACGTTCCGCGTCTCGAACCCCGAGCTCTGCCCTGTGCCGCGGAGGAGGGGGCGAGGGGTGGGGGGGGGGCGGGGTGGGGACTTGGGAAGTGCCCGGGGAGGTGTGAGCTGTCTGCAAGGCGACTTCCTGGTCGCTTTGCGGGTGCAGGGGGTGTTGCTGAAAGTTTGTGATTTGTGCCGCGGGGGCGGGGGCGGGGGGGCAGTGCAACGAGGACGGGCGCAAGTCTCAGAAACCCACCCTGGTATGTTGACTCGGTGCCAGCAAGACCGAGAGAGGAAAACTGGGTGGGCGGGGCCAGGATGGAGCGAGGGGGGGCCGAGTTGGCAAAGGAGTCCTGCCAGACACCGCATTCGCAGCGCACCCCCTACAGCCTCCCTCTCCCTGTCCCCGACATTGCCCACCAGTAATCTGGAGAGAGGGCCTGGTCCAGGGCTCGAAAGGGCAGCAGTGGACAACCCAGAGAGGGTAACTGCCCCTGCCCCAGTGGGCAGATGGAAGTTTCCAGACAAGGAGGTGGAAAGCAGCCCCCCTCCCTGCACCCCCGCCCCCATTTCCCGGTGCCAGGATGGGCTGGGGTGCAGGATGAGCCCCCCCCGCCCCCCGTTCTTTGCTAAGAGATGGTGGGGAAGGCGGTTGGGGGTGCCGCAGAGAAGGGAACGGCTGGAAGGAGGGAGGGGGCGGGAGCAAAGGGGGCGGGGGGAGTGGTCAGCAGGGAGAGGGGTGGGGGTAGGGTGGAGCCGCGGCTGGGAGGAGCCGGCTCAGACATAAAAGCTGAGGCACTGACCAGCCTGCAAACTGGACATTGGCTTCTCCTTTGAGGCAGCCTTCCAGCCTCCTCCTCCCGCATCCTCTTCCTCCAGCCCCAGCGAGCCTCCTGTCCAGCTGCAGGTAACCGGGGCTGTTGAGCGAGGACCCGGCTGCCCTCCCGCTCCGGCCTCAGCCCCTTGGCCCCTGCCCGCGGCCTCCCACCCAGCCCCTTCATCCCTCCCCTCTGCCTCTGCCCTGTCGCCCCTGCCCTCCCTCCTCTGCCCGCTTGGTCACCTGGCCCGCACAGCTCCATGCCCCTCGTCTAGTCTTCTGCTCTCTGCTGGTGCCCTGGACTGGACCCCGCACCGAGTGGCTGGGCTTGCAGAAGGATGGGGCTGCCGCTCGGACGGCACCGAGTCCCTAGCTGGACAAATTTGTTCCTAGAATTTGGAGCGGGGGGCGGCACCGGGCTGTCGGGAGACAGGCTGGGGTCTGGTGCAGGGAGGAGGTGAGCTGAGCCAGGCGGCAGTTTCCATCTTCCACGGAGCTGGCCCTGCTCGTCAGGAGCTTAAGCGAGACTGTGCTTCCTTCGCAGCCCCTCATTTCCTACACGATTTATTGCATCAAAATTCCCCTGGGCCCAGCATGCAGCAGCCTTGCTCCAGGCTGGCAAGGGGCGTGCTGCTCGGTGCCTCTGTGCTCACTGGGTGCACAGCCTAAGAGGGACACACGTGGGCAGCTCCACCCAGGCCCTTACTAGGGTAGCCTGCGGGTGCCACGGGGCTCAGGGGCACCCGGCCGAGACTGTCCCCCCAGAAGGGGCTCGTACCTGGGCCCGCAGAGGGCAGGCTGGGGCTGCCTGCCTGGGGGGCTTCCACCTTTTGGAGGGCTAGGGGTGGCTCGCTGCGTCCCAAGAGGAGTCAAGGTCCCTTTCAAGCCCCCCCGACTCCTTCGGGGACCTGGTTAACCCTTGCCCCAGGTCTGCAGCCACAAAACCTTGCGAGGGGGTGTGTCTTGAGATGTGCCTCTCCTTCTAGGCGGTGCCCTGAGGGACCGGGGGTCTGGCCTCTAGGTGGCCTGAGCTGTTCTCTCCAGCTCCTGGGGTGGGGTTGGGTACCCCAAATGGGGAGAGGGCCTGGTGGTCCTGGAGGGACTTTGAGGTCCCTGGCCCTGGGTAGTGTGATGCGAGGCCTGGAAAGGAGGCTTTCGGCTTTTATGTGTGTTTGGGGTGCCCAGGGCAGGCTGGAGTCGAGGGACTGAGTGATGTAGGAGAAGGTGGCTCCTGGGAGCGTGGCTGGCACCGCCGTGCTGACCGTCGGACCCTTGACCCAGGCTTTGCTGAGCCGCAGACTGAGAGGGTGGGAGAGGCAGTGCGGGAGGGAGGAGGGTGGTGCTGGCCCAGCAGAACCCCCCTGTTGCTTTGGGAGGGAGGCTGGTCCTCCTGGCACCCTTGCTCAGCCGGTCCTCTGAGATGCACATGTTCTGTGCTGGGGTGGGGCCGTCTGCCATCTTGGCTGGCGCTGGGAGGCCCGAGGAGTGGCCGCTGCCCTGTGCCGGCCCCGCCCCCATGACATCATAGGATGGAGGCCAGGTCCAGTGTCCAGCACTGGCCCCTGCAGCTCTGGGTGTGGCTGAGCCCCTGCAGTAATAACGATGGGGATCCCCACGTGAAGTTACTGACTAGCACTCGGTGCCCCTCAGAGGTGTGCCCCGCACACAGCCCTTCACGCGGGGCAGCTCTGCATCCTGCCTGCGTCAGCAGTGGAAGCTCCAGCTCTTCTGTAATTAAAACAATTAAGATTAAGGAGAAAGCCGTGCTTTAAAGCTGTAACTGGACTTTAAATCAGGAGATGGCTGAGCTGAGTGTCCCCGAAGGGAGCAGGCCCGCATCCCCTTGCTGGGCCAGCATTTCGGGACGCCCTGGCTGGTGGGCAGTGGGAGGGGCCCGGGCCTGGACGTGGCGGGGCGGTGGGCTCACGCCTCTTGTCTCCGCCCGCAGACACCAATGGGGATCCGAGTGGGAAAGTCGATGCTGGGGCTGCTCGCCTTCTTGGCCTTCGCCTCGTGCTGCTATGCTGCTTACCGCCCCAGTGAGACTCTGTGCGGCGGGGAGCTGGTGGACACCCTCCAGTTTGTCTGCGGGGACCGCGGCTTCTACTTCAGTAAGTAGCTCAGCGGGGCGAGGGCGGAGGGGTGTACGCAGCTGGTGCTCGATAGATGCCGGAGTCCTCCTTACCGCATGTCAGACACCTCTGCAGGTCTTCAGCACACCTGGCCTGGGGGTCGGGCCCAGGGAGGCCCCTCAGAGGTGAATGAGCCCGGGGCCCTTGCTGTGAGACTTGGAGAGCGCAGTCACGCCCTCGCAGTCCACATTTATTAGGCACTTACGGTGTGCTTGGGCGGTGCCCGCACTCCCTGATTTCTTGCAGGTGGGAGGGAGAGTGGACGGTGGTATCTACAGGGGGACCAGACCTTAAGTGGCAGGTGCGGGTGGGGTGCAGAGTGGGCTGGAGGCCGGGCTTCCGGGCGGGGTGACCCAGGCCCCCACAGGGAGGCAGCCCTTCCCCTCCTGCTTCTCCCTGACCTGCCCATGGGCAGGGCTGCAGGCACTGGTTTCCCCGCACGTTTTGCCCACATCTTGGCAACGGGCAGATACCCGTGGATGGTGAGATTTTAAATGGAATCAAATGGGTTGAAAACCAGTCAGAATAAAAGCACACGTTGCTGGCGGCGTGAGTGTGCCTCGCCCACGCTCGGCTGCATCTGCAGGAGGGGACCGCCGGGGACCCCAGGCCTGGGTGGGACCCGCACCCAAGGGGCAGGGCACAGTGCAGGGCGCCCGCCTGCTGGCCCGAGGGCTCTGTTCTTCGCCCTCCTCTCTGATTCCCAACCTGCAGGAGCCGGCTGGGCATGTGGAGACCTCTGCTCTCCCTTGCCCCTGTGCCCTGTGTGGCAGGGCGGGTCCCCCGTTGGAGGTGAGCTCTCCTTCGGGGTGTGGGCTCTTGCCCTCGTTTCCCAGCAGTCTGGGCCTCAGTTTCTTTAACTGCAGGATGGGTCAGGGGAGTTCCGGAGAGTGTCCATCCGGATAACGGGAGAAACTAGGGAGCAGTTTCTTGACCCTCGAGGGGGGAGGGAGTGTGTGCTCCCCCTGGGCTCAGCCGGACACTGCTCAGGGCTGGGTGTGGGTGGGGACATGGCTGGGGCAAGCAGGCAGTGGCCGTAAGGCTCATCGTAACCATCACCCACCACAAGGCACCTTCTTCTGCAGCCTTTACTTACCCACCCTCTGAAATGGGCCGAAAATGCCCGTCTTGCATGTCAGAGCTTCTCTTTAAAAAACATTCCTGCTTCTTGACGCTTCTGAGGCCCCTGCCTGCCCTGGCTTCTCCTGTGGCCTCTGTCTCCTGCCACATTTGGGGGCAGGAGATAGCACCGTACGGTCTGGTGCTGGCTGGCCCTCGCCCGGGGAGTGGCCCCCTGGCACCAGGTTTCCCTGAAAGGAGGGCCGGGCTGAGCCCCCAACCCTTTCGACCCTGCACCTGGACCCCTTACTAGGGGCTCCTCTCCCTCCCCCCACCGATGGCGGAAGGCAGGCCGGGGGCTTTTCCTTGCAGCTGAGTCTGGAGCCTGTGCGTGGAGGAGAGGGGGAGGACGGGAAGAAAGGAGGGCGTGGTTTTTGCAGGTCCTCACTCCTCTCCTCCCGTCTTCTCCTTCTTCCTCCCATTCCTACCTGTCTCGGCGGCGGCTCTAGGGCCGCAGGCACCCAGGCTCCTGGTTGGTTCAGGGATGGCACCTGGGTCCCAGCCGGCCTTTGGGTCAGGACCCTGGGATCCCAGGATGTGGGGCCGGGCCCCGTGCATTTTCCAAACAGCCCCTGGTGGTGGACCAGGAGGCCGTGCCCACTTTACATACGACGAGGGAGGCACCGAGAGGCCAGGGGGCTGGTCCTGGAGCGCACTCACCCCGCTGTCCATTCTCTCCTTTCTGGGGCCCCTGCGCGCCCCCCTCTCGCTTTCTTCCTTCCCTCCAGTCCAAGGCCGGCTGTCCCTGCAAGGTGACCGGCATCCTGTCCCAAGGGCAGGGGCGGCGGGCTGGCTGGAGGAACCCTGGGGAGCCCCCTGGGGCGCTGGTGCTGACGTGCCCTTTCCTTCCTCCTGTGGGACTTCCAGGCAGGCCGGCAAGCCGCGTGAACCGCCGCAGCCGTGGCATCGTGGAAGAGTGCTGCTTCCGCAGCTGCGACCTGGCCCTGCTGGAGACCTACTGCGCCACCCCCGCCAAGTCCGAGAGGGACGTGTCGACCCCTCCGACCGTGCTTCCGGTAAGGCGGCCCCCCCAGCTTGGGTCCGTGGACGGCCCCCCAGCTCTGGGCCCGTGGACAGCCCCCCAACTCAGGCCTGTGGACGCTCTGGGCCCGTGGGCAGCCCCCCAGCTCTGGGCCTGTGGGCGGCCCGGCCCCTGTGAGGGGAGCCGGCGTCTCCGGGACCCTCCCCCTCTCTGGAGCCCCTCGGGGCTGTGACCTGTAAGCCAGGGGACCAGGGCGCAGCAGCTCCTCAGCTGGAAGCGCGGCTAGGGAGTCCTTTACATGTTTGCCACGTGCCCCCACCGCAACCGTGGTGGTGTTGACCAGAAGCCGGGGGAGTTACTGACCTGTCACACGTCGGGCACGCTGCAAGGTTTAGGGACAGCCCCCAGCAGGTTGCCCAGATGTCCCCCCGGGGCCTGGGTGGCTGGGGAGCAGGGGCTGGGGGCCAGGCACCCCTTGACTGGCCCTTCCCCTCTCAGGACAACTTCCCCAGATACCCCGTGGGCAAATTCTTCCAATATGACACCTGGAAGCAGTCCGCCCAACGCCTGCGCAGGGGCCTGCCCGCCCTCCTGCGAGCCCGCCGGGGTCGCACGCTCGCCAAGGAGCTGGAGGTGTTCAGAGAGGCCAAGCGTCACCGCCCCCTGATCGCCCTGCCCACCCAGGACCCCGCCGCCCACGGGGGCGCCTCTCTTGAGGCGTCCGGCCATCGCAAGTGAGCCAAATTGTCGTAATTCTGCAAAGCGGCACCACCCACTCGTGACCTCCTCTTGACCGGACCTTTCCATCAGGTCCCACCGCTGAAACCTCTGTACCGTCCTGTCTGCGGGCTCCCCCGACCTGGCCCCCGTGCCCCAACCTCCCCACGTCAGGCTGCTCTCTCCTCGGCCCCCTCCATCGGGCTAAGGGAATCACAACAAAATCTTTAAAAATGTACAAAATCAATTGGCTTTCGCCCTCTCTCCCAAATTATCACCCCCAAATTACCCCCAAATTACACAACCGAAATTGCAATCACAAACGTGTCGGCCCCCTTGAAACGAATTGGCTTCTTAGCAACACCGGAAAAGCTAACTAGCTTTCCAGAAAACCCTAAAAAAAAAAAAAATCAATTAGCTGAAAAAAAAAATACTAAAAATAAATTGGCTTCAAAACAATTGGCAAAATAAAAGAATTCGGCCCCCACCCTTCCTTCTCGTTCCTCTCGGACCTGGACTTCAATTGGCTGTGACTGACCATCCAAGAGAAAGGAAGGCGCCAAATTTGCAGGTAGGCTTGTCACTGCTCGCCAGCCATCTCCCTCCTCCACCAACCCTCGCCGGGCTCTGGCCGTGTGACACCGAAGACCCAAACCTGTTCCTCCCCGTAGTTTCCATCACTGAGACCGCTGTGGAGCCGTGGGGGGGGCCCAGCAACATCCGGGGAGCGGTGCACGGGACAGAAAACCCGAATTCGCGCAGATAAGACTTAATTGGCATGAACGCCCACACGCTCCAAAATTTTACGTCTGAATTCTCACCTCTGAAAGCACACGCACCCACACGCAACCCTGCACGCGCGCGCACACACACACACACACACACACCCTCACACACACCCTCACACACATCCACAACCCTCACACACATCCACACACGCGCACACACACACACACACACACACTCTCACACACATCCACACACGCACACACACACTCTCACACACATCCACAACCCTCACGTGCATCCACACACACACGCACACACACCCATATATGTGGGATACCCAAACCCAGCATTGTGCAGATGAGACCGCATTCCATCCCAAATTCTTCTCTAAGCTGCCCTGCGATGAGGTTTTCGCGTCCTGTGCTCCTCTCTGGTCCCCTGGGATGCGCCCTAGGGTGGGAGGGTGTGTGTCCCAGGCTCAGGCGCGGGTGGTTCCATCTTTCCGAGATGAGGCAGATCCCCCCTCCTTCTCGGCACCCGTCCTGACCCCACGGCACCTGCAGTGAGAGTCCCGATGCCCCCAGACCCCACTGGCATCCACGCACCTACTATCGTGCTGAGCGAGGAACGGGTTTGGCCGGAGTGGAGATGGCTGTGGCCAAGCAAGACATGCCCTGCCGCGTCGCCTGACCCCCTAGGTGTGCTCCTGTGAGATCTGGGGACCCCCCCCAGCACACCTAGGGCTCGCCTTTGCCAGCCTCCTGGGGGAGCCTGTCAGAAATGAGGGCCCCCTGGAGACTGGCAAGGGTCATGGGGAGTGTGGGAAGTCTGGAGGTTGGTGGGGTGGGTGGGGGGGCATTGGGGGCTGGGGGGGGATGCTCTGGGGTAGGAAGTGGTCCAGCAAGGGTTTGGACGAAACGGTCAGGAGGAAAGATTGACGAGGAGACGTGCAGAATTACAGATCGAATCAGGAACCCAAATTGACGCCAATTGATCTATTTCCCCCCTTTAATTGGCTTCTCCTGGGGCTTTTTTCCTTTTTTTTTTTTTTTTTTATCCCTCCTTAGCTTTTTGCGCGCTCATGTACCAAATTAAACTTACTCCCCTCCCCGTGTAACAGGGGGGCAGTGACCAAGGACAAGGAACGCACGAAGCCAACCACCTGTCACCTCTGCGGCGCCCGCCGCCGTCCTGCCCTCCGCCATTTATCACCCTTGGTTTGATTTTTGCCTGTCCCTGTCGCTTGGGTTGAGTGGAGAGTGGAGCCTCGCGGGGGTGCTGGCCACTGTGCCCCCCGAGAAGTCAGAGGGGAATGGAGACGGCCGCTGCCTGGCCTGGCCCCCGGGGGCGGTGGCTGGTCCCCGGGGGTCCTGAGGGGCGGAGGAGGGGGCAGGGAGGCGTCTCTTCAGGTGTCAGGAAGGTGCTCGGAGGCCACCAATGTGGGGCCCCCGGCCGGCCCAGCCGGCGGGGGGGAAGGGGCTACAGATGCGTGAGCAAGGGGCTCCATCGGGCGGGAGCAGGTGGCCGCCTTCCGCGCACCTGGGGAGCCCTCCCCGCGCCCCTCGGTGACAGCTTGCCCGCCTCCTCAGTGCCCCGTCTGGGCCCCAGGAAGCTCGGAGCTCCGCGGGGCTTCCTGGTGACCAGGTGGGGTGATGCCAGGCAGTAGGAGAGGTCCGGAGGGCACGAGCCCTGCAGAGCAGGAGAGCTGTGAGTGTGTCTGACAGCTGGGGTCGCTTGGGCCCCGAGGCCGTTGGGTCTGGCGGTACTGACCCAGCCAGCATCTCAGCGCCTAGGGCTGCGGCAGGGACCCGGGCGGCTGAGAGGTTTACCTCACCCCCGCCTCTGCCCCCAGCGCAGCCCCCCTGCACAGCAGCCCGACTAGCAATCTAGAGGCCCGAGGCTTCTGGGCCCCGGTGACGGGGCTGGCACGACCCAGGGGGCGGTCCGTGCCAGCCCACCCAAGGCACAGAGGGTCCCCCGGCCAGCGTCCAGGGAGTGGGCCATTTGGACCATTGGACAGAAGCCCAAAAAGCCAAATTGTCTTAATCGGAGAAGCCAGACGGATTGGCCTGAGATCCAAATTGTCTTCGAGGCACCCCAAATTACCTGCCCACTCAGCCAGACGCCACCCACCCAGTGTTCCGTTTGCCTCGATCGGGTGGGGGCTCTGGGGGCGTCTGCCGAGGCTCCTCTGTGTACCCCAGTGAGCAGCTCTCTGTGGGTCATCGCCATCCGACCCGGGCTCCTTCCGACCTCCACGCCCTGGTTGTGGCCCTCCATCGTGTCTCTTCCCCGAGTCCCCCCAGCTGTCTTCAGCGGGACCCCCTCTCGGGTCTCTACACCATCATCTGAGGACCCCCACGCGCAGAACACCGAGTGTCACCTGCCGCCCAGTCCATCCCGCGGCCGTGTTCGCCTCCACTCGCCCCTAACATGCTATTTCTGACAGAATCCACAGCTTGGGTTTTGTCTTTAACTTTTAACGCTCGCAATCCCAAATAAAGCATTTAAATTTATTTTCTTCTGAGTCCTCTGCGTTTTCACTTGGGTACCTGGTGGAGGGAGGGAGGGAGGGGAGGTCTGAGCCCTGGGGAGGGGGCAGGGGAGGTGGGAAGGGGGGGCAGGAAGACCCTGCAGGTGGGGACACCTCCTCTGGGCCCCTGCGGGATTCAACATACAGGTTCAACAGCAGACTAGATAAAGCAGAAGAAAAAAATCTGTGAACTCAAAGACAGGGCAGCAGAATTCATTCGATCAGAGAAGCAAGAGGAAAAAAAAAAAATAGCACTCATGGAACAGTGATGGGGTGCAGGGAGGACAGCCCGAAGGCCCGCAGCTCTCAGCGGTGGTGACACCACGGTCGTGGATCTCGGGAGGCTCTGGGACCATCTCAGGGACCGAATCCTCAAAGACAGGGCTCCAGGCGACGGGAGGGGTCCCGGGGGACTCTTCCAAGAGCCCACTGAGGAGCAAACTGCTGTCGCTGTCTGTCAACCCCAGGGAATTTTCCCAGCCTCGGGGGACAGGGGGAAGGGCGTGGGCCAGGTTCTGAAAGGTTCTGGAAACTGTAGCTGTTGCTACAGATGGGGACTCAGGGCTACCTGTCACCTGTGTGCCCACCTGCACACGCAGATGGGCTCCCCGTGCCCCCGAGATTGAGGCCGCATCAGAGGGCACTGGAAACCCCCTCCCCCGCGCAGCCCCGCACCGCAGCCCAGACCACGCTGACCACTGACCTTTAGGGTCCTCGTGCCCCTCAGAAGGCAGTCAGGCTGGCCTCCACGATGCTCGGGGCCTGCCCGGCCCTCCCCTCACCCCACCTATCCCCAAGCCCCCGGTCAGCAGGTGTGGCCAGTGGGGAGAGGGCGGTGGGCTGTGACCGGGGACTGGGCAGCCTTCAGTGGGCGCCCAGGGCTCTCAGCCCCTGTCTGGGTTGGGGCGAGGCCTTGCACCTGAATCTGCTCACTCCGCCTCTGGAACTCATTGCCGGCCTGGTGCCGGGCTGTGGCCCCTGGGGTCTGGATGGCGTCCCCAGGGGCGGCCATGATGCCCAGGCTCCCTGAGCTCAGCCACGGGGTGGGGAGGGGCTGCCTGGAGGAGGCGGGATCAAGGATGAGGAGGGCTGGGAAAGTGGGAAAGAGTGAGCTGGACGGGGGCGCACCGTGCCCTCTGGGCAGCCGGGGCCCTTCAGGGGAGCCTGGGGGCCAGGGCGGGGCAGAGGGCGCCCCCCACCCAAGGAGGTGCTGAGACACCCCCCGGGGGGTTAGGGTGTGGACCCAGCTCGGGACCCTCTGCCCAGCCCTGCCCACCCTCAGACCAAGTTGGAGTCTGTCTCCTGCCAACCCCAGGTAGGACCCACCCCCGAAAGGTTCACTGCAGCCCTGCCCGGGGCCCCTCCCAGGACCCTTGGGATGCTGGGCCAGGGTCTCCCTTCCTGCAGCTCTGGGCAGGCCCTGCCCTTCCCAGCTGCCCCATCACCCAGCCTGTTCACCCTCACTGCAGCCCATTCGCCCATGCCTCTGCCCCCACCTGCTTTCCCCAAGACCGCCACGACCAGGGCACAGCCAGCCCTCCCGCGGCCCTCCTGAGTTAGCCCCAAGCCTCCCCCACTGCCATCACTGCCCCCACTCCACTCTGCTTGGCCCAGCCGTGTCCCAGGTGCCCTGGATCTGCCCAGCCTCTCCACGCGCTCTGCAAGCTCTCAGCTTACCCCAGGGCTCCATTCACTCATCCACTCATTCACACGTGTGGATGAGCGCCTGTGTGCGGGGCACCCCAGGCTCGGCGTCACGGAGGGGATTACTGGGGTGCTTTTTCCAGTGGCTAGACCTCATGGAGAAAGTGACTCAGGAGGTGAGGGTGGGGGGGCGTCTCCTGGGAGGAGGGGTGAAGCAGGACCTGGGGAGTCCGGGGCTGGGGCTGGGGCTGGGGCTGCCGCGGGGGGCGCGGGGGAAGTGTGGGAGATGAGGTCAGAGGCCCATATTTATGGGCACCCATGGGGGTGGGCTGAAAGGTGTCCTCCCCAAAAAGACGTGTCTACATTCTAGACCCCTGCGAATGTGCCCTGATTGGGAAAAAGGGTCTTTGCAGATGTGATGAAGTGAAGGATCTGGAGGTGAGACCGTCGTGGATTTAGGGAGGGCCCAGATCCAGGGACGGGGGCTCCTACCATGGCAGAGAGGAGAAAGGACACAAAGGAGGGGCCGTGTGAAGACAGAGCAGAGATTGGGGGGATGCGGCCACAAGCCAGGAGCCCC